AAGCTCTGGATGACGCATGGCATCTATCAACTAGGTTTCCCTGGTTTTTGAATTTGAGACGAGCTTAATCAATAATAGAGCGCAAAATTTTTATGCTAAATCTGAAAACCTCTCCCCGAGATATTAATATTGTGTTCATTATAGTCGGAAGATTCAACTCGTCTATCAATATAGATTTTAAAATATAGAGTGGAGCAAATTAAGGTGACATTCAAGTGCTCAATATTTCACCATTCTTCAAACTATGTGCAAAAACACCCTAAAATGTCTTAATTTGCGTTGATGAACCTTTCCAAAAAGCCAAAATTACAGAGATTTTTTATTCCCCGCAAGAAATTAGAGCACATATTTTTTTCTCAAGTATATATCTATTCAGTTAAAACAACCTTTCTTTGTGATGGATGGAGCAAACTCTTTGAAGCATTCTTCACCAAGATCTTCGAACAAGGACTGAGTCACTGATCATCCACCTCACACCACGTGTCGATTGATGCAAATATTTAGGCACATATTTTAGATCAAAACATAACGTTAAGAAAGAAATCTATATATTTACCTGGCTCGCATGTTAAAGCTTACATTGTATTTCTATCTAATTCATTTGAAAAACAAGAAAATGGCAAACCAAGGTCCCAACAATCCTAGCAATGCTGGACAAGGCCAGGTAATATCATGGCTAATCTTGTGTTTAAGTGCATTATGACATAAATTTGATTATATAATTCCGTGTTTTATGTTTTCTAACTTATCTTTAATCGGCACTGTTAATTAATTACAGATGTGGAGGGATGACTTGCTAACCCAACAATCTACCACCCAAAACCAAGACCAGTCAACTAACTTCCTGCAAGAGGTAATCTTAGATTTTCCATTTCACCAACCAGAGTAAGATTTTGGGCTTGTTTGGCTTTACTTAAAGACAAATAAAAGAGCTTCTCATATCTCTTCGACAGTTTGAAGGGTCATACTACCCAAAAAGGACAGAAAGAATCACTTCCTTTTGTTTTTAAGCAAATCCAAACATGTTTTATATATCATGCAATATCATAATTATATGGAATTTTTTTATTTTTTTATTTTTTTATTTTTATTATTTTTTTAAATAATGAAGACTGGAACCCAAGTTAAGAACATGGCACAAGGAGCAGCAGATATTGGAAAGGGGGCAGTGCAGGGTGCGGTTAGCATTGCCCGAGGAGCGGCACTAGGGGCAGCAAACGTGGCACAAGGGGCGGCGGACATCGTGAAGAATACTCTAGAGACAAACAATGACACCAACACTGCCTCAGGCCGTCCTGGCACCACCGCTGACGCCAGCCTAGGTGCCAGAAACTACCCAAGCAGCAACAATCCAAGCTATCCCAATACTAGGATTTGAATTGAAGCGCTTTTCTTAATGCTCTTGTTGATTTGTTTACATTGAAATGTTACATGAGGCCTAAGTTCATTAGCACACCGGGCTATGATTGGTGATTACTGTCATTTATTAATGTAATTTCCAGAATTAAAATTAAGTTCATAAATTGATGTTCATGGGCTTAAGCATATAAAGAGCACCTTCACGAGATATATAAATCTCAACAATTCTCATTCTTCATCCACGGGCCATTGTCTTCTCTAAAAGCAAACAATCAACGTCTAAAACCATATCTCACATGCCCAAATCTTGGGCATCAATTTCATTGAAAAGGTCCAAGCGAGTAAATGGAAACACGTTTTTGACTATTGATTAGGTAGTGGGACGGGAGAATTTGAGCCGCGTAAGCAAGCACGATTTCAATGGCCTTTCCACTTAGTAGTCAAGGAAATTCAAAACTACTCATAAGTAAAAGCAAAATTTTTGAAAATAATCGATCGACAATATTCTTCGGACTGTGCTCAAACTCGAATGCCAAGCTGTAAAAATAGAATAGAGTAGAAATGTTGTTAGAAGTGATTTGAGCTCAACTCATTGTGCTATAGGAAAGAATCTCCAAATCAATCCGGTTCAGTTGTCAAGAGCGAACACCGAGTTTGGGGCACCCGACAGCAAGAGGCAAGTCCAAATTATCCAGAGTCCTGAAAGTTCTGGGAACCATCCTGTCGACATAGAGAGTTCCATCTAGATGATCACATTCGTGCTGAAAAATACGAGCCTGCCAACCTGAAGCATCAACTTTGATTGGTTGTCCATTTCGGTCCAACCCTGTAACCTCAACCTCTAGGTGTCGTTCCACAACTGCTCTATATCCATCAACGCTGAAAAAGATATAATAAAATATCTAATAAGAGAACTTTTATAATAGCATGTTTGAACCCACAATTTGTGACTAGATCCAGACTGCTTGCAAATTCTACTTACAGTCCTCCCAATATTCGGTTCAGGAAAAAATTAATAGCATGGCAGCTTATAAACTTGTTTCCTACCATTAGAAATGTTTTTCTTCCAGGGACTATCAATTAAATGCAGAATCTAGGAATGAAGAATATTAGACATGCATTCAAATATCCAGGATTAATTCATTGTTCCCCTTTTCTCTATATCCGCTTTCTTATACAAGACATCAGAGAAGGATATATGCATAAAAGAAAAGTTTCAACATTTGCGAGTCTCAGGTAATTGGGTTTGAGTTCAAGTTGAGCATATCTCAGCCATAAAGGAATAGGGGTAGCGGAGAACATGCGGGCGAGTCGATAGTAGATCAAACAGAACAGGATGTATAGCACCAAAAGATCCCCTCTCTGAAGGTCTTCTGGACAAATGATCAAGTCGAGGAGTTATATGGACATCCAAAGAGGAGTCAATGTCTCTGTACCGTCATTTGTTCCTTCTCCAGATTCTAGGATGATATTTTTTGAAATAATTGGGACTTGTAGATGCTATTTTTGGCTTGGGGAGGGAGTGGGGAAGAAAGTACATACATATGTCACTAAATTTAGCATTTTCAGAAACTTGATGAAAACATAAGGCGAAGAAAGAATCTCTTCATATATCCTTCTAGCTAGAGTTTGTTTTTCAATTTTGACAGGCATTTATAAAAGGAATTTGGACACATTCAACTCGATCTTTTTCTTATCATGGAGATAAAAAAACTCAAAATTATGTACTTTGGAATTGTAAAATCCAAAACAATAATTACATTGTCCTTTTAACTTTGTAACTGGAAAATATTTTTATGTAATTTATGTTTCTGTTTAGAGCTGATTTCTGAGTCGCCACGAGCATGCCATGGATCTCTAAGGTCACTGCTTTAAGCTTTAGCTCTTTTTGTTCTTATTAACTTAAATGTGACTGACATTTAAGTCACGTTATATGAATTCATATCTAATCTTCTTCACTCTCTTCACTCTTCTTCACCGTGCATGAGACAAACTATTTTCAAGTACCAATAGACCTGAAATAAAGATCTAAATTTGCTGGGGAAAAAATTGGAAACTTGTGGATGATAAATGGAATCTGGGGTAATTAAGAGTAATACACTTCAAAATTTTCCATTGGCAGATGTCGCAATCCAGCTATTCTAAATGTGTTTTTAGGAGGATATTAAGCATCCTCATTGATGAGTTAGCGAATAATCGAAATCCATAATGAATAATCTGATGAAATTTGTGACTTAAGTGTGTGAAAACATATGAACACCATGGGTGTACTGCATTAAATTCCAACGACTAAATTAATATCTCTATCGCATTCACAAGCAACAAAAGAATATGAATTTCAAGCGATCCAGGAAAAGTAGCCGGATAATAGTTGCCAGTGGCGTACCTTAAACACCCTTCAAAAAATAGTGCTGCTTTATTACCCATCTTTTTGAGTATTGGATTTATCACAACCTGCACCAAAAGAGCATTTAAATTATGCCTTCGAAAATGCTTCACAATTTTATCAAAGGTTATTCATTTTTCTATTGACATACCAAAAGATCAAAAGGTCGCCTCTCTTGCGACTTAGTCTCTTCCTTTGGTGCATAGCTAATATATTCTTTGGTGTCTTCCAAAACAATGATCTGTTAACAGTTACTAAAAAATGACATTTCATTTCTCATGTGCATGTCTGGATAACACAGCATACAAGATTTAGCTTCTTTTTCTTCCTTAAAACCTTCCAAATATCGTTTAATTGGCCTTTTCAAACACACCATAATGCTAAATTTTGTAAAATAAAATTATATCAACGCTTACTCTTAAGGGGATGCCAATTTGAGGAGCAGCAAGGCCTACCCCAGGTGCCTTTCTCATGACCTTCACCATGTCATCTATAATCTTCTGGATCCGACTCGACCCAATTTCCTCGGGTCGGACCTTCTGAGCCGGTTCATGAAGAACCGGGTCTCCAGCTTTTACTATGTCAGGGGTGACCTGCTCTTTCTCACCCATGCCCAGAAACCAACCAGCCCGGGCAGTTGAAGTAGAGCTGTGATTTCTTCGGGGTATTATCGATGCCGGACTCGAGATGGATGACCCGGGTCTGAGCATGGGTTTCTGGGTCTGGTGGAAACGGATAACTGGTGGTTTGTGAATTCGGGTTGTCGAAATGGCTTTTAAGCACTTTTCTGTAAAGGGTAGTTCGGGAAAGAAGCGGTAAGTGAGTCTTTGAATCGTCTCCATTGCCAAGCGAAATTTGCTTGGCTACTGAGTACAGAGTGACGAGTGCCTGTACAAATTGATGGAGATGAAATTTGGCATCAAAACTCTGGAGTTTAATGGGCCTAACCGTTTGTTCTCTGGGCTTATAAATGTACAACTTGGGCTTCGACTGTACTCAGTTGGACTCTGTCGCTAAAACCTCATAAATTTAGGGTAATTTACATAAGTGGGGATTACACTAAACCATATATTTGAACATCCAATTTCAAAAATCAAGTTTAAAGTTTGTTTATGGCAAAATCAGATGATAAAATATACATTTTAATTGATTAATAATATTATTTAATTTAATTTATACAGCCTAATTCACCTAATCTAACCCAACCCCACATGTTCCATCTACAGTCGTCTCTCTTTGCCCTCTCCCACAAATCGACCATCGAGACATCACTTTCAAATTACTCCCAAAAATCGACCACCAGGACCATCACTACCATAGGCTATCTTCTTCGTAGAGCTAGTGGTGAAATATCTATTGACTGTAAATCGCGCAAATAGCGGCTAGATCGTTGGAAACACTGCAGATCGTAGCTGTAGCGGCTTAGACCGCGACGGTGATGTCGTAGATCGTCACTTCAGCGGCCTAGATTGCGTTGGTTTATTTTTACTTCAAATGTTGGATGGGTTAGTGGTTTTCATGCTTTGGTGGTTTAACAGTGATGGTGCGGTAAGGCGGTGGTATTGCTGGCAGTAAGGAGGTATTGGTGTTGCTACTGGGTCGTTTGTTTAGGTGGTTGGGGATTTTTTATTTTTTATTTTTAATATTTTAGGTGACGGTTTTGTTGAGTGTGGGGGTGTTTTTGTTGGTAAATGTTACTGTGTGTTCGTTAAAATCTCGCAAGCGTACGGGTTCGTTATATAAGTAATAATTGTGATGAAAGAGTTATCGTCCCACAGGGAATAATGTCTAATTTCAGTGTATTTGATATAATTAAATTCGTGAGATTAACTAAAAGTTGACGTTTGTTTGAATAGCTAATTAAGTTCTATAACTAAAAATTTGCAAAATTTATGAGAATTTGTTTTAGAATTTAGATGAGTGAATGTATTGGATTTCCAACGCCACTGATTAACTCTTAGTTCTAATTCTCGACCTATGACAATTATCTCAACTCATGCAATTGTGACGATCGATAATTTCACATTTATTTATTATTCTTTCCCAAGATATAACCACGAAACAATCCTATTCCTAGTTCGAAATCATATGGCAAACACGCATTGATATATAGGATTATCACACATGACCGCACACGTCACAAATATTATTTCTAACATTCATTGTCTATGCATTTCAATAACAGTGTTCTACCTACCGTGAGTTTTCCAACACTATGAATAAGCAACCTATTGTCCTAATGGTGCGCAAATATTAAAATAATATAAATATACATATTAAAGAAACCACAACACAAGAATTAAAATGAAAACATACGGTCTTGAATTAAAAATTAGGAGTCAATCAGTTTTGTCATCCATCCAATACAAAGATGTCTAGCCTAGCATATTAATATATGAAAAACATGAAAAATAAAGAAACGACATATCTCGAATCATTAAAGTATGAAAAGAATCTAAAATCCTCCATTTTATGCCTTCAATTCCAGATCCAAGTGATGAAGTCTTATTCTTCAATGTATATCCTGCTCTCTTTTCCTCTTTGTTGGCTTCCAATCTCCTAAAAATTAGGTTCTCCCGTGTTTTTGTCGACTTTTGGTATAAATATCGTTGCAAAGAATTGTAAACCAAAACTTTCCAAAACAAAATACGGAAACAGAATTTTTTTGTTAGAATTGAACCATGCGTACGCATAGTATCATCAATTTAGCTTCGAAAGTTAAATTTTCTAATCGTGCGTACGCACGACCTGCAAGCCTATGCGTACGCACAGTTCAACTATTTTAGGGGCCAATTTGCAATTTGGTCCCTAAACTTTCAAAAGTATGTGTTTTGGTCCTTTCCCAAAATTTCTTGTCTTGACTCTTGGTGTTCCCAACTCATTGTTCTTTGATCCAATTCAACTTTTGGATTATTGCATTCTAGTCCCCAAACTTTGCCTTCATGTAATTGAGTTGTTTTTCCTGCTTATTTTATTTATTCTCGTATCTTCCATTGATTGTAACCTACAAACAATATATAAATAGGATTAAGCCATATTCCATCAAATTCTTTAACAAATACTCAATTTTAATGGCCTAAATAAGTGTATAAAATACACTTATCAAACGCCCCCAAACTTGAACATTTGTTTGCCCTCAAACAATTTATAGCCCGAACCAATTAAACTTTGGTAGATGGTATGTTGTTAGTCTCAAGATTGGACAATTGTGTCATTACTTTGAAAAGTGTCCAAATTACACATTTGGAATTAATTTCCCCTTAATCAATGTGAAACTTAAAGTGTGTGTGTGAATATTCATATAAATATTATAACGCTAATAACTGGTTTGATTCCCAACCTGCAGTAGTCAATTATTTCCTTTCCTCACTCGTAAGATACGCACCTCCCATATTTTTTATTACTTCGGCTTCTAAGACTCAATTGAGCTCATGACCCATTGTCAAAGGTATAAGTCCCTAGAATAGTTGTTTGAGACTTAATCTTGGCACTTGGTGCGTCTTCTGTTTCATGCACCTTCTCATTCCCAATATATATATATATATATACTCCATTAAGTGACTAAGTGACCCCTGTAGCGAGTTTTTCAGCCAGTGACTCCCAAATCAGAAGACCATAGGGCACCAGGTTTAAAGGACCCTTGCAGGCTTAATTGCTTGAGTAAAAAAGGCTCCGAAGAAAAGTTCTTTTTACTTCTTTTAATTGCCAAGATTAGTGCAATGCCCCTTATTAAACACCTATTCTCGAAATCGACCCTTAACTCGAGGTTTTCGTCTCAATTCGTCTGATTGGCTTTAGATAATCCACACAATCATTTTACACATGGAATCCCTACTTATCTCAATGTTTCTCTATACCAGTTTAATCATTTTCAAATTCTCCTAAAAGAGGTTTTATGGTCTTATTTATTTGTGTTGGTTCGGGTTTGAATCAACTATGTTCAACTTTCTCCTTATACAAACCAAGTCATCAACTCATAATGCAGAACATGAATATCATGCTCAATAAAGATCAAGTTTCACATCAACAAGTGTCAATTAATTCAACATATAATTTTTTCACGGTTCTTAGTTAATTACACAATTCTAATATATGCATCATTGCCAGCAAGGCCATCCAACCCACACAAGCACACAAAAGTTAAAAACAACACACAAAAGTTAATTTTTTTAAATTTAATTTTTTATTTTTATTTTTATTTTTTTTATAAAGATAAAACATACCAATCATGCGAAAAGAAGTAAACGTGAAGAAAAAAGATTAAATCACTCCCAAATTTAACAAGTGCATTGTCCCCATTGTACCACAATAAGGAATAAAATGCAAAAAGGAGGGTGCGAAAGGAACTGAGAACTCCCCTGGTCAATCGGAAGGTGGCGGTGGAGGTAGACGGGAAAGAATCTCCCTTATCAAAGCAGATTGCTGGCCCATCTCGATTTGCATATTACGGACCATGTCGTATGTCTGATCAGCCCGAAATTGCATGCCATCCATCGTTCCAGTATAATGGTCCAACCTCCCAATTAGCCTATCAGTACTTCGATGTAAATCAGAGACATCTTCTTGAGTCCTGCTCGCACTGGCTCGTATAATCCCAATGTCAGTTTGCATATCTTGTACCCATAAATCCAGGGCGGTAAATGATTGCTGCAACTGTTGAACATCCCTACTCAGCCCGGTCATCATCACAAACATCTGTCGCAGTACGGGGGTATCAGCTAGTGGCTCATGTTGCGGGTCCGGGTGGATGTCAATGTCATCCTCATGGCTCGTCTCATCCTGGTTATCTTGTCGTCCTTGTTTGTACTGATTGACTCTTCTCCAAGAGTTTTGGGTGGAGAGAATGTTGATTGGGGCAGCAGGACGTATTGCCTGCTCAGTTGGTAGGAGCTACACTCCGTAAGCCCTGTATATTCCACAGATAAGGCTTGGAAATATGAGTGTGTATCGTCGGTCTACTTTGGCAGCACGAGCACAAATCAGATTATAGATGTGAGTGCCCAAGTCAAATTTGAGCCCTCTAGCTCGATGGTAGAGTAAAGCAGCTTTAGTGTGATCGAACTTGTAACGATGCTTGGAGGGATCAACATTGTGGCAAACAAACATCATCAGAACCATGAGGGACTCAGTTAAATTACTGTATAAGAAATCCGGTCGACGGAGCGGCCAGGCATCTGCTCTTCCATATAAAACCTGTGCTAACTCTGGCCAATTCTGCTTTGGTGGTATCGGGATGATTCATGCTCGATTCAATTTAAGATATTCATCAATGACCTCAGGTGTGAACATAAACAATTTATCCTGCACCCAGGTTCGATGCTGGTGATCGATCCCAGGCTCGTCGATGGAGAAGTTGAAATTTGTGTAGAACTCTTGAACAAGTGTAGGATAAATAGCAAATGGTTTAGCTATCACCTTTTCCCAGCCCACACGATGGATTAATGTCTCAATTTCAAACCCCGGGAAATCTTCCAAAACCACTTCCCGTTCGGGTAAAACAATCCATTTGGTGACTACTTGCTCAAATCGAAGCCTATGCTCTGGGCTTAGGAATCTTCGCACGTTGCCTTCATCAACTCGAGAGTGGCCCAGGTTGGACGAAGAAGAGGCTTTGCCTTTCCCCTTTGAAGTGGATGGAGCGTCGCGTGTGCGTTTGGGAGGCATTCCTGCAAAAGGCACAAAATAAGCAAATGAGATAGATGAACGGGGTAATTGTTATCAAGAGAATACCATAAGTACCAAATGAAGAGCAAAGTGTAGTGCTATGTGTAGAGAAGAACACGGAAGGGCGGTGGAAGGGGTGGTAAGTACAACGTGTAGTTTCCCTCCAATTTCAAATTATACAATAGAGTGGATGCAAGCAAGTATAAGGTGTCGTTAAATTGAGGAAAGCCCAAGTGTTGTGCAACAAT